GTTTACTTTTCTCTCGTTTTCCAGTGAAACAAGATGGCGTAGAACCCGCAAAAAATCGACTTTTTTCACTCTCTTGTTCTTACGTGATCTTGTAGCTGAAATTAGTCAAGAACGTAAACCTACCGGTACGTAAACCCGAGTCAGCTGACACGATCTGTCTTACCAAAGCGCCATGTAAATGAAAACTCAACACCGCAGAATTTTTCTGTAGTTGTAGCCCGTAGCGCAGAAATCTGCGGAATTTAGATTTTTCCGTGTCAGCTGATTTCTCCTTCTTTAGATGGTTGCCACTTCGTCAGTTTTGCAGATGGTAAAAAAGTTATAAGTTCCTATTCGAAATATGTTTAAAATATTTGAAATTTACTATTAAATAAGGTTTTTGTTGAAAACTAAGTAGTTTATATTTAGTTACAATCTATTATAGCACGAAAAATTGTGGTTGAAAGGGTAAGTTTATGAAAAGGCATTGAAGAGTGGCAACACTGTAGTAAGCAACACTGAGGGCTCCAGTAATCGACAAAATTCTGCGTATACAGACTGCGTTTAAGTATACGTTCTGCGTTCTCGACTAATTTCAGCTTGTGTATTTCGTTCATGGATTATGCAGCGTTTTTGCTGCATTTAAAATGCAGCATTTAGCACTTTCGAACATATGTTTTCGAAGAGTGTTCATGCTATAGCATTTAGCAAATGTACATTTACGCGAGTTCGAAATCGTATGCTTTTGACAAACAGCCGTGTTCCAGTCTCTTATTTAGATCCGTATATATTACGATCAATTCTCACGCAGAAGAAAATCTGCAAAAATCCTACTGAAAAGGAAAAAATAAAATTTAAACCAAAAATTCAATACAAAAACTTGAATTGTTATAACCATAACCAAACATTTGTTTGTGTATATATTCATTTGTCGGTGCTGTCAATTTTCCTCACTTAAATAGGAAACAAACCAAACCGAGTTGATCACAAATTGATCCAGATTTATACCAGCATCACATCGATGTTGAATTTGCTAAACTTTTCTTTATCCAAATATGTAATGTAAAATAAAAGAAATCTCGATCGGCGATCACTGAAACGCAGCTAGCAACTGTATACTCGAAAAAGCAATGTTGCCACTTTTTCTCTTTAAACCATGTTCGAATCGTGGAAATTTTGGAAGATCACAGGGTTGCTTTTAGCATTTAGATTCTTAATGCAAAAATGGAGTTGCATTTAGTTGCATTTAGGTGACGAATTTTGTATGGATAAATGTACATTTAGAGTAGCATTTAGAGCTAAATGCGCTAAATGTGCTTTTACGCGTAAGCAAAAACAGCCCATTATCCTCGAAACCTTGAGGGATTTCCCAAATATACTCGGGCTCGTATCGCTGGATTGTTAAATAAATGCTAACGATGACCAAATTGTAGTACAATTAACTTTATTGTACAACAAACAATTTACAATACTTGCTAATACAGTAAAAACACTTTACAATACTTGTTAAAGCAATAACAACGCTTTACTACTTGTTAACACAATTAAACTTATAGCTTGCTTATTCGCAACTCAATTCTCCGCTCACTTTACTTGTAGCTTGCTGACTTGTAACTAACTCACCTCGCGGTGGCGGCGCCCTTATATACCTGCGCTGGCACTTATGGCAACTCTAGAACATTCTGAAGTTTATCGCTCATTCTCTTTCTCTCGCTGTTCGCAGTGTTCATCCAACTTGACGTTTCTCTTTGTGGAACATTCTACGTCATTCTTCGAACATTCTGCTTATTTCTCGTTGTTCGCTTTGTGTTGCCGCAGTATTCGCCTTTTTCGAACACCCGATATGTGCTGAAAATCGTACTTACCTAAAGAGCTATAAGCCCACAATCATTGCTACGTGTTCCTATTTAATTAGACTTTGTATATTCATTAATTCCTGCAAAATTGGACCATTTAATATTGATATTAACACATTTTTCCGCATTGTTTACATATTTCCTATGCGTTTTGGCATTTCGCTCTCGATTCTAATGATCTTGGGTTTGAAGTATGTTGGACAAGCCGCCTGTGTGGTGTATTTGGAGCTTAACCTCCACTTGGAAAAAAAACCGGTTGTAGTCGGCTATTCGATTAATCGTGCCATTGCTAACCTTCGTTTAATAAAGATTTATATTATTTTGACTTTAAAGGTAATGAAAGACCAAACTACATACTTACCAGCCAATTCACATGGATTTACAAATGTAGAAGGAAATAAAAATTCTACGTTACTGTGTTTTGACAAAAATGATTTCATGAAAGTTTGTATAGTTCAATTGCAATACACGTTAGGTATTTTCATATATCTAATATATTTTAATAGGGAAACTTTTCTGTTGACGAATTTTTGCATAAAAATCGCAACGCTCCTAGTTTGGAACAACTACGGGATGATTTGGGTATATACTTGAAAGACTTGCGAGCATCTATGATCGATTTGATAAATGAGGATTATGCCGACTTTGTTAGTTTATCAGCTAATCTTGTTGGTCTTGATCAATCCATTGCAAATATAGAAAATCCAGTGTTACAATTCCGGAAGGAGGTCGACAATATTCGGTTCTGTGTTAAAGAGTGCGCCGCAGCAGTAAGCGACAATTTGAAGAAGAAACAAAAATTACGTGAAGAAAAGCGGAATTTGCAATGCCATCAAAAAGTGCAAGAAGCAATAAATAAACTTAGTAGGCTTTTGGAGCATCAATTGAAGGAAAAATTAAATCCATTTGACGTAGAGCGTGCAGCTCTAGAATTGATCCAATTACAGTTCAACCGACAGTTCTGTTTGGGAATTTTAAATGATGAACAAAAGAAAAACATTGAAAGGCTTGAAAAAGAAGTATTAGCAAAACTACGAATAAGTTTCAGCGACGCTTTAAAGGGCTCCTCAAGCACATGCTCAGATTTACTAGAGCGCTGCTTACGAATTTATATAACTCTTGATGCCTGCCAAATAGCCGAACAAGTGTTTCGTGAAGATATCGTTGCGCCATATATGAGTACTATTATTTCCGAGCACTGCTTACAAAACTCTCCACAAGGTTTATCAGGAATATACGGAAAGGCTTTAAATTTTATTTCTTTATACATGACTGACTTGCTACGGCTGACACATTATACGGACAAGCTTTGTGGCTTTAATTTTTTAATTAATAGTTTCTGGGTTGATGTAGAAATGCGGTTAGAAACATATATGCCATCAATTTTTGCTCCGGGAAATTCAGAAGTTTTTTACGTTAAATATAAATGCACTCGTGATTTCTTATCTAAAATTGAAGAGCTCCTAGCTAATGATGGAGCTGTTAAGAGTTTTAGGGAGCACAAACAAACTATAAGTTTTCAAGCACGCTGGAACTTGCCAGTATATTTCCAAATATGTTTTCAGGTATGATATACATACAGTATTGGCCAATACAATAGCACCCCCATTTCAAAGTGATATTGTTTGCCACTTATCTTTATTTATTTATTTTTAGGCATATCCAAATAAGGTACAAATCATTCTCTAACCGGGCCGTTACATATTATAGTTTCCCCTTTAAATTTTTAATACTCTAGAGCTCACACTTTTACACTAACACTTTTATTTATTGTTTCCCATCCCTGCAAACCATTTTTTCAGAGTAGAGAAGTTTTAAAGAACTCATAAAGATCTCATCCGATTTTTGACCGAATTTTCTAAATCGAAATAAATTTTACTCAATTCGATCCTTTTACGACATTTCGGAAGAAAATAGGTAAACGTATGAAAATAATGCCTGAAAACCAAAGTTCCCAAAATCTTAACGAAATCTTTAGGAGTATCTCATTTGTGTAACGTTTTTTTTTTACGAATCTTCAAAGAAAATTATATGAACGGGGTTGACACGAACTCGTAAAGAAATTTCTGTACGAAAAGTAAAGAAAATTCTGAAAATTTTCCGCAAGAAATTCCTCACATAGCAGCATTGTTTTCATTTCTTTACCAATTTTCTCCGAAATTTCGTAGAAGAATCGAAGTAGGTGCACAGTTTATTTCATTTTAGAAAATTCGGCATAAAATCGGATGAGATCTTTACAAATTCCTTTAAATTTCTCTATAATTCAGAATACTCTGAAAAAAAGGTTTGCCGGGATGCTGCTAGGTGAAAATTTTTTTTCCGATTTCTTTTCAGAATTTTCTCTATTTTTCTTACAAAAATTTCTTTACGAGTTCGTGTCAACCACTCATATAATTTTCTTTGAAGAGCCGTAAAAAAGTCGCTACAGAAATGAGATACTCGTAAAGATTTCGTTAAGATTTCAAGAACTTTGGTTTTCAGGCATATTTGGATTGCAGGGACAATACAATTTTTGTTGCCGGCAACAAGAAAACGTGTAGCCCTAGACATCCATTCCCACGACAGCCGGTTCTACGTACCGGAATGACTCGGGTTTTACCCGACCAAGGGCTGTTGTTTCGGCGATGTAACCCCGCTTAGGTCGGCGAAGTATCTCGGAAGTTGTTCGTCCATAGGGCTACATTCGCTACGTATTCTTCTGCTCAGGGCTGGCATCGAGGCAAACCCAGGGCCAGAAACCTACACCTGCTGTGTATGCCAGAGACGACTACACCACAACTCCACCTCAGTCAAGTGCAATGTTTGCGAGGGGTGGAGTCACCTCAGAGTCTGCTTAGGATTACGGACACATCGGCAGTGGATAACGTCGTTTGTGGTCCCCTGCTGCTTAAATAGAGCCGCCTCCACGGCTAACCCCAGTCCACCTGAGCAGCTCCACACAAACACCACAGCACAACAACAACAACAGAATAGACCACACCACAGCCACGACAGACCACAGAACATACACAACCGCACCACCACCCACACGCTGCCGCCAACAACTCTTGGTTCCTCCTACAATCTGCACGGTATGTCGGACCAGGATATTCCGTAATGTGACATCAGTCAAGTGCAAGTGACTGGTGCCACTTTAGGGCATATTCAGGTCTGCGCATCATGCGAGATTGGACGAGGAACTTCGAGGGCCCGTGTTGCGTTGCACGGTCGCAAACCCCAACTGCGACGCCACCCACTACGACCACAGGGCGGCAACCACCACAGCAGCACACACAGCCAATGGCGTCAAGGCCACAAACATCTCTCACACCCCCCTTTACTACATGTCTCCCGAACCACATGAAGTTCCTTCAAGTTAACTGTAACGGGCTTCAGAACAAGATCGAGGAGATAACCGTCTTCATGAGAAGGAATGGTATATTGATAGCTGCGGTCCAAGAGACGAAGTTGCTCAGCATTTCAACATCGTTGAATTGTGCCGGGTACAGCGTGCACCGTCGAGATCGCGAGTGAGATAATGGTGGTGGCTTAGCACCACACCGTGCTGTATCGTCTTATTGAAGCAGACATCGACCGCAGGGATACCACCCTAGAATGTCAGGGCGTTGCTATCCGGTCAGGCGATGTTGAGCTCGAAATATTTAATGTGTACATACCCCCTGTCACCTGCTGCCCGGCAGGATATACCCTGATATAGGTGCGCTCTTCAGAGGTGAAAACCGTATGGTAGTAGGTGATTTTAATGCGTACCACGATTTTTGGCACTCATGCCTGTCAAACGATCGCAGGGGAACCGACTTGGCTGAGCAGATAGATGATTCGACATTCTGCATAGTGAACGACGACGCACCCACCAGGATTATGGGCAGCTGCTGCAGCTCGCCAGACATAACAATACTCAGCGCTGGTCTGATAAACAGCATATCATGGTGATCTATGCTGACTTTGGCATCAGACCATCTGCCCATAGTCATCTCGATCGATAAACCAACCGACTTTGCTTCCGCGGAACACCGGACATATATCAACTTTTCTAAAGCTGATTGGAAAGGCTTGGCGGAATTTACTGAAAACACCAACCGACGTCCACCTTGGGGAACGTAAAGTCCGCAGGGCTATCACCGCTGCTGCAGCTCGCTTTGTACCGGCAGGATGCATAACGGACCCACGTCCAAATTTCTTTGCTGGAGCGGCTGTTCTAGCCAATGAGCGTGAGAGCCTTCGTCAGGCCGATCCCGGAGACCCCCGCATCAGGGATCTCAACGCGAAGATTCGGCAACTAGTGAACGTACATAAGCGGTAGAAGTGGGAAGAGCATCTGAAAACCTGTAACTTCACCTCTGGTGTGAGTAAGCTTTGGTCAACCGTGAGGTCACCGTCCAATCCGACGAAGCATGACGACAAGGTCGAAATTTCTTTCGGCGACCATGCTTCATCGGACCCGGAGCGATGCGCGGGCTATTTTAGCCGGCAGTTCATACTGCATCCTCCGGTGGACAAAGCCAAGCGTCGAGTGACCAGAAGGCTACACAAACTGCCAACAACTTGTGCCCCCCCTTGCTTTCACTTGCGGTGAAGTTCAGATGGCCATCGGGAAGGCGAAAGCCTCCAAAGCCATGGGTCCCGACGGAATATGTATGCTGATGCTGAAAAATTTGGGTCCTGCAGGAATAGCGTACCTAACGGAGGTCCTCAATTGGTCAATGGCCACTTTCATCATCCCAGACATCTGGAAGGTGGGGAGAGTGGTCCCACTACTCAAACCGGGGAAACCAGCCAACAAAGGAGATTCGTATTGGCCGTTAACACTCCTTTCCCCGGTAGCGAAGACACTTGAGGCCTTGCTGCTCCCGTATTTCACGAACCACCTGACCTCAGCAAGCATCAGCATGGTTTCCGTAAAGTGCACAGTACAACAACAGTACCTAACGCCATAAACACTCAGATATCTCGCGGCCTTAACCGTAACCGTTCCTGTGGGAGAACGATTCTAGTAGCGCTGGATTTGTCAAAGGCGTTTGACACTGTCAGCCATTCCACAGAGGCTCAAACGGTGGTCGGCAAATTATCTGAGTGGTCGACACTCGTTGGTAATGTTTAGAGACATATCGAGCAAACTCAGAAAAATAAAACAGGGGGTTCCACAGGGTGGTGTCCTTTCGCCGCTACTGTTTAACTTTTATATTTCAAAGCTCCCTCAACCACCAGAGGGAGTCTCGATTGTTTTTAACGCCGACGATTGCTCGATCATGGCGACTGGTAATGGAATTGATGACAGGTGTTCGAAAGTAAACGGGTTTTGGATCAAACTTTGTACACAAATTAAAGAAATTCTGTAAGGTTTCACCTAAATTGCAAACATTTTAATTAGACTCTAAAAAAAAATTAATTTTAGGATAACAAAGTGCTAGATTGAAGTTGCTAAAAATTGCATTGAGTTTTGGCAATTTTTTCCTTGACAGTGTAAAGCGGTTCCTTCCATATAAAAATATTTTACGAACATGATTTTTTTTTGCAACCTTGCGGAGTGCTGTCAGCGTTTCATTCTATCACATCACGATGTAGCGAACAAATGTGGCACGTTACAGAAACCGCTACTTGTGATTTGACGATTTTGATAATTCTCAAGTAAATGTAGACAACGCGTCAGAAACTTTAGATGCACTGAAATTTGCTAATACTTTCACATAAATCGCCGTTTTTTTTAATTTTCGCTATTATTTTTTTTTTATGAAACATATATTTTAAAATTTAACGTAATGGAACCACGTTTCCTGTCGAAAAATTTATTATTGAGAAAATTTACTATTTTACAGTTTATTTTATCCTCCCATTCTGCTTTGTTTACTTTTACTTGAGAAATTTCATCGCCGCGAGGAATGCAGAATCTTGTATTACATATCAGTCTTGTTACCATATAGTGTTTAGTGTTGGGACAATTTTTGGTTTTAAAATTAAGAAAATTATGTCGAGCAAAAATAAAACTAGGTACTCAAAAACGCGAATATGTGGTAGATTTCAGACCGTGTGTGGTAGATGCTCAAAAAAGCGGCAGATCTACCACAATGTAGTAGAAGTCCGATCCCGGTTCTTCACTGCAAAGTGCCTAGCCCTCTCCCCTACGAAATCCTCTGCGACCTTGTGCACCACCTGGACGAAGGAGGTCAGGCTACCGCTGTGAATTAACGTCGATGATACACCAATTCCGACGGTGAATAACCCCAAAATACTCGGAGTAACATTCGACAGTCTGCTCTCCTTTTCTGCGCACACAACCGCTTGGGGAAAAGACAAAGAAACGTTGCTGGCAACATAAAAGGCAATAGGCCGGCCGGTTTTAAATTACGCAGTGTGGTCGCCGGGGACTAGTAGGACGCAGTGGATGAAGCTACAGACGACTCAAAACACCGTACTTAGGACAGCGACTGGATGCCTTCTGATGTCGCCAGAACACCACCTGCATGACGAGGCGAAAATGTTCCCAGTCATAGCATAACACATAGCCACAGACGTGGCCACCCAAACAGACAGCTTCTTGCAGAGGAGCCCTCGCCTAGGCACGTCA